CACGGCCTGGCGCTCCGGAGCCTCACTGGCCGGCTCGGGACCTGGCTGTGCTCTTTACTAACAGTTCACCACAGACACACTGCATGACCCTCTGAAGCCCTCAGTTTCTCCACTTGTAAAATGGGACCAAGGTCAGTGGGTGTGATGGACATGCTGCTCCCCAGGAGGCGGGACGCTTCGCCCCTGCCTGTCTCCCCCTCCCCGCCTCCTCCACCCCTGCACGGGCAGGACGGCACCCACCTTCAGGGACCTGATTTCCTTCCTCCAGGGAAACAGCAGCAGGTTGACAGAGACCAGCTCCAGGAACTCGAGTGCAGGCACCAGCTGGGGGCAGGCGTCCCCCTGGGAACAGCCCCCCAGGGGAGCAGGGGCCATGTCCTCAGACACATGGAGCCCTAGAGGGACCCCCGTGTCCAGGAGCTGCAGGGCCCTGTGTGTGAGGGCTGCCTGCCTGCAGACCCCGCCCCAGCCTTCCACGGCACCCTCCCGGTAGTAGCTGAGAAGGTCCTCCAGTAGGGTCTCCACCGTGGCCCCGCCTGGGGGCTGCAGCCTGCTCATGGCCGCTCCAGAGGCCTCCCGCGACCAGACCCAGGCCCGTCCCCAGTCCCCATCCCCGTGGCTGGTCAGGAGGCATGGAGGAAGTGTGATAGTAAAAGTGAAACCACTCCAGCTCAGCATCCACCCAGGAGGGCAGAGGGCCTGTCACAGGGTGCACCTCGTAGGCTGCTCGGTGGAAGAGCCCCTGTTTCTGGTTCTCTGCCAGTCTCAGGTGAGTAGGTTCAGCTGGGAAATGCTGGGCTAAACACAGCTGCTCTCACTTCCAGCCACGGGACTTCTGGCCGGAGGACTTCCAGGCTGGAGCCGGCTATCAGATGTGAATTTCACTGAAAGCACAATGAACAGATTCCCACCTTCCTGGGCCCCAGGGGTCTCCCAGTGCTCGTCTGGTGTTTGCAGACCTGCTGATGACAAGGCTGTCCCTGAGTGTCCAGCCTGTGTCCTGTCGTGTACTGGCCTGGGGGCTCAGGAAGAAGGGAGCTGCCTTCCGTTAGCTCACCTCTGGGGGTGGGAGCCGGTGGGAGGCCCTGGCTCTGGACTCATCTTTGTTTTCCATGACACTCTGCTGGCCTCCACCCCCCTGCCACCCACCAGAGGGGCGCCTGTCACCCCCAACTTGCCCCAGTATCCCATCTCCTGGGAGGGATGGGCAGTTTCCTTGGAGAAGTGTTTGTGCATGGTCACCACAGCTGCAGGAAGCAGGGACAGTCAGAAGCCAGAAGGGGGATCCTTTGTTGTGGGAACTCGGGGCAGGGGTGGGGTGGGCATAGAGTCCTATGAGTCCATAGAGCAGTCACCACAAATGCCACCACATTAATTCCCAGAGCACAGAGGTGGCCCCCAAGCAACGTGCAGTGGGGCTTAAAACCAAACCCATTAATGCCAACTAAGTCGGTTCTTACTCAGAGTTGATGACAATTTGGGGGCCAGTCCCTGGAAAACAACATCATGCTGGGGTAGGCAGTGGGTCGGTGAGAGTAAGGCCCTCAATGAGCCGGACTGCCAGTGACTGCCGCAGTGGGCCTGCGTGTGACAGAGGTCATGATGAAGGCACAGGATGGGGACGGTTCACATCAAGGTTCACAGGGTCACCGAGTCGACTCAATGGCTCCTAATAACATCATGGTAGCCTCTTGGTACAGAGCACAGCCACTCCGTGGAGTGGCTACTTGGCTGTAACCTTGACGGAAGCAGACTGCCAGGCCTTTCCTACATGGCACTGCAAGGCAGGTTTGAACCGCCAACCTTTCGGCTAGCTGTGGAGCACAAAGCACTTGCACCACGTAGGATCTCAGGAGGGCAGAGGACTATTTTGCAGGCATCAGGCTGTGGCCAGAGAGCTGCCAGGAGAGCAGGGCTGTTGCTGAAAATGAAGGATGTGAGTGGGCTCCACCTCCAGCAGTGTCCTGAGGGAGACAAGCCCAGTGTCCAGAGAGTAAGTTTGATCCACAGGAAGCAGTGTCTTTGACCCATGGGTTTGAAGGTGGGACAAAGGCACTTAAGGGGCTTCCAGGCTCTACAGGGGCTGACTCTAGATTTGTGGGGCCCATGGCAGCAGAAGTGGCAGAGGACGGGGGGAATGTGGAGGCGGCAGGGAGGACTTGGAGGGGGCAGGGAGTGGGGGTCAAGGAGGACTTCAGGGATCAGTGAGGACTTGGGAGTGTCAGAGAGGGTGTCAGAGAGGACTTGGGGGCCAGGATAGGTGGCCTCAACCCCTCCTCTTGGTGATGCTGGTGAATGGACTGGTCCCTAGGTCACAGTCTCTCCCTTTTGCACCTTCCTTCAGGGCAAGAAGGATGTTGAGGATATCTGTCTAGAGGACCCGAGTTCTCCTGGGAGGGAGGGTGACAGAGGGAGGGACCCACACTCTCTGACAGATCGATGGCCAACATCGGAATCTTCAGGGAGGACACAGGATGACAGCGAGTACCGGGGTGAAAATGGCGCGTTCCCTTTAACTGCAGAGGTCCCTGTCCTGGGGTAAGTCATGACTGGGCCGAAAACCAGCAGCTCTGAAGGGGAAACGGAAGGTCCCTGGTGTCAATGACTCTTCTTGGTGGCAGTGACATCGGTCAAGCCACTGATGCCTGAGGAAATACTATGTTTCAGGGAGATGAAAAAGAATTTCTGTAATCACTGAATGCCCAGATACGTCAGTAAGAGAATGACAGGAGCCCTAGGCCCAGTGGTGAAAAAAGAGAAAGGGAAGGCTGGTGAAACCAGCTGCTGTCACGTCGACCGTCTGCATCAGAGCAGAACTGGGCTCCGGTGGGTCGGCCCTGGCCGAGTCGGGGAAAGACCTCCAGGCCTTTATTCTGAGGCACTTCCGGTTGGCCTCAAATTGCCAGGCTTTTCATTAACAGCTGAGCGACGTGAACACCTGCACCATCCCTGAGCTGAACAAGAGGCTCTGACAATTTTTAACTTGCTGCTGTTTGGTGTTTCTAGTTTCATATGACACAAACCCCCAAGCACTCTGGATAATGCTACTTCCTGCTACATTTTTTTTTATTGATATACACTGTAGAATATTTATTTTGAACACAGGATATATGGTTGCTTATTCAGCGCCTATTCCAGGAACAAGAAAAGCTGTTGAGCTCCAGCCCTCAAACACTGATGAGTAAGGTTTTTTATTTTTTTAAATTTATTCCTGTTTCTTCCCCACCCCAGCGCTCTCCAGAGCAGCAGGAGATGTGTTTCTTACAAAACTCGGCCCCGGAGTGCGCGTTAAAGGCTATACAGTACGACAGAGATTTTTTTTTTTTTTGCCTAGGAAACAGTTGCACCACAGAAAGTGGCCAGAACTGCTTGTAAACAAGGTCCCTCCCCCAGGTGGAGTTGGGGGGCAGGAGGACGAGGGCGCATGTGATACTACAGAACCTCCAAATGGGTATCATTCAGTTCTGCTCCAGGAGTTAATTCTATTTCTACAGGAAAAAAAAATATCAATCTTTAAGATTGCTATCCTTGCCATTCCTCTGTTAAAAAAAAAAACAAAACCCACAAAAAACCCCAACGCAGACCAAACCCGCTGCCATGTCCACGTGTCACGGAGCAGAATGGCTCCCAAGGGTTTTCCTGGCTGGAATTTTTACAGAAGTAGAGTGCCAGACCTTTCTTCCATGGAACCACTCTGGAGTCCAGCAGCCGACCTTTGGCTTAGTGGCCCCACCAGGGCTCCCCTGCTACACTGTCTTAGCCCTTCATTGGAGGAATTGAAATGTCAGGAACAGGACGGATGCGGATGACGCTGTTTAGAGATGATGGTGACAACAGGTGAGACAGTGAAGTAGGGCAGGTGAGCAGCACCTGGCTCCCTGTCGCTGGCAATGTTGGCAGGACCACGCCTCAAAGCTGCTTGGCCGCTACCGCTGGCAGGCTGGGTTTTCAGAGTCTCCTCTACCTGCAGGAAACTTCTGGAAGGCATGGGCCAAGACTTGAGTCTCTCTGCCCCAGGCTGAGCCCACACAGCCCTCCTGTGCAGGGCTCTGATGGGGCTGAGGCACCCCCTGGTCCTCTGTTGGTAGTGTGGTGGGACTGGGGGTGCTGCAAACACCTTGAGGAGGCAAGGCCAGCACAGGCCCACTGCCAGTCCCCAGCTGTGGCCACCAGGAGGGAGCTCCAGCCCCAGGTCCAGCTTCAGCCTGTTTAAGGTCAGCCCACAGTGGATGCTGGGCACATGCCATGAGCCTTGCTCTTTCTCAGCCTGGAAGCCACACTGGGTGGCACCACAGCTGGGCCACCCAGAAAAGGGTGTCATTTTTATAGGCCCTCGGTTCTGGCCCTGGCTGTGGCTGTACTGGCGTGAGAAGGGCTGTAACCCACCACCAACAACCTGTTCGTCCCCCATGGTTAACTCCACTAGCAGCACCAGACAGAAGGTCCTGGGTCGGGGAGGGGGCCGGTGGCTTGCCCCCGTGTCCCCCACCCAGAAGGGGCAAGGTGGTGATGTGGCTCTTCTGTCCTGGAGCTGAGAGTGGCGCAGCACCCAGCTGTTCCCTCCAGAGGCTGGCCCCCTCCACAGAGGACAAGTTGGCTCCAGGGCGGGGGTCAAGGTGGGCAGCTGACCGAGGAGGGCCAAACAGTTTCTGGAGGCTGAGCCAGACTTCGGGTACAGCCTGCTGGGCTAGGGTGAGGCAAAGGACTGGGGAGAGGAGGACGGGAGGAAGCCCCCTCTCGTCATCATGTCACCCCTCCTCACCCTGAGCGCCACTGAGTGGGGAGGTGATGTGAAGGGAGGCATCACGCTTCTAAACAAAACCGTCTCAGGTGGGTTTTGTACGGGTGTGGTGGGCCTGTGGTGTGTCTGCATATACACGCGGGAGGCGTGTCTGGATATGTCTGTGAACATGTTGGTCAGTGTGTTCATATACGCATATGCATGGTGGTGTCCATGTGTGTACCTGTGCATGCCCGAGGGACCTGGGGACTGGGGTCACTCAGACAGTCCTCTCTGGGCCCGAAGCTGGGCTCCGGGTGAGGGCAGCTGAGCCCTGGGAGCTCCGGGGCCCTGGGCCTGGGCCAGGCAGGGGCAGCAGGCCTGACGGAGGGCCAGCCCCACACACAGCCTCGTATGGGGGCAGGGTGTCCATGGAGATGGTGCAGAGGTCACGCTGCGGCCAGTTTCTCTGTGCCTCCTGGTGGGGCCCAGGGCTGTGGCCGCTGCTGAGGTCCAGGGTGTGGTCCAGCTGTGGACAGGAGTCGGTCAGCGAGTAGGGGGGCGGCGCGTCCGTGGGGACGTACAGCTGGGTGGCTCCTGGCCCCACACACTCCTCATAGCTACAAGGGAAGGACATTCCTCAGGGACTGGACCTCAGGGTGTGTCCCCAAGGACTGAGGCCTGTCTGCACCCAGAAACTATGCAGTGAGGGCCTTGAACTTGAACTTCCTCTGAACCAGGCCCGAGTCGGTGCCAGCTTAATGGGTCCTGCCTTCCCTGCATCTGTAACTCAGTTAGAGCTTGTCCTTTGTGATGCGTCTCCCAGGCCAGGGATGGGGGACCAGTCACCCCCAAGTTGCCCTTCTAGGCTCAGGAAAACGTCCCTTGGTTGATGAACTCACAGACACAGGACAAGCAGGCCCACACTGACCCTCTATGCAGGGCTAGAGGATAAAAGGGCAGTGACCAGCGCTGAGAGTCGGGGGTGGGGAGTGGGGTGACTAAGACCTAGCCCTCTCTTCCAAAGCTCTAACTGGCAGGAGAGGCCCTGAGGGACACAGCTGACATCGCTGGGACCCGCAGCCTCAGGGGTGAGGAAGCAGCTACGCCCAAGACTTTTTCTGCATTTTTACCATTTGAGTAGGTGGTGCCCTGTCCCATAGTAGGGGGTCTTTGCTCCCAGAGCCCCTGCCCATGCCCACGGCCTCAAGTGGCCTCCCTACCCGGGTGGAGAATCCGGGTACAGTTCTTGCAGCACTGTGACATCCACATCCCCATCAGAGCTGAGGTCCAGGGATGGAGGCCAGTCCTCGTCTGGGCTGCAGGTGTAGCGCATCCTGTGGTTGGAGGTGTGTCCCTCCGACACTGCAAAGGACAAGCCATCAGCCTGGTGCGGGGTGGGGGCGCTAGCCCTCAGGGGGCTAGTGAGGTCACTGGGGCTTTGATTCCCCCTGACCATCATGCCCCTGCCAAGCTCCCTTCACCCCGTCAGCCAGAATGTGAATGCTTTTAGCCAAGGCATGTGTCAGGCTTGAAATGGCCCTGCCCTGGCAGGGGTCCCAGTCTGCAGGGAGGTGGCTGGGGGGACAGCCAGTGCCAGGTGGTGTATTATGAGCTCTGAGAGAGGAAGCACTGGAACTGTAAGGGCAGAGCCAGGCTGACCCAGCCTGGTCAGGGAGGGCTTCCTGGAGGAGGAGCTGCTGGAGCTGAAGTGATCTAGGGAATGGCCCCTGGAAGAGGGCCAGCCAGGTGGAGGGGCACCAGAGCTAAAGCCAGGGGAGAACAGTACAAGTGGACAGGACACTTCAGGCTGGGCCTGAAAACCCGCAAATGGGGACGAATGAGAGTTCAGGGCCTCTCCCCCATTCCCTTTATGTATCTCAAGGGGAAAAGGGGACTTAGGGGTGAAATAATGTGCGGTCCAGGCACATACCAAATTCTCTCCTGAGATTTCAAACTACAGATTAGCACCTCAAAGGCTCTGGAAAGTCCTGGGGCTAAGAAACACATTGAACCTGTCTGCCCAGCGTCTGATCTCAAGCTTTTTCTTAAACACAGTAGGAAGTGCTCATGGGGGCCCGGAGCCTTGCCGGAAGCCAGACATTAAGAGAGGGATAGTGAGGGCCAAAGGGCAGCCAGATGTCCTGCTCCTCATCCTCTGAGTCTCTACCTCCCTGTTCCTAACATGTCTTGTGTTCCAGGGACACTGTGAGCTGACATGTAAGGTCTCACCATCCTCAGCAGATGCAGGTGCACAGTGCAGGGCCTGAAATCAGGGGCGGGGCTCTGAGCCAGGGGTGTGGTGTGGTAATGGGCGGGGCTCTGCACCAGGGGCGGGGCTTAATAACGGAGGCGGGGTGGGGCTTGATGCCAGGGGCGGGGCTCAGGACTAGGTGTGGGGCCTGACACCAATGATGGGGCCTAACACCAATGATGGGGCTGGACACTGGGCGAGGGGGCTGGGGTTGGGGCTCAGCACCAGGAGCAGGTGCCCTAAACCAGGGGCAGGGCTCAAAAACTCTCTTTGAAACTACTATGATTGACATCCCATTCTACAGATGAGAAAGCTGAGGTTTAGGGTCATGTGTGAAGTTGGAATTCAGGTACAGTCTGTGTGTCCTTTGAAGGGTCTCTGGCTCTGGGGGGTGTCCATCGGCATCCGTATGCCAGGCTAAGGCTGTCTGGGTTTCACTGGGTGGCCCCAGCAGGAGGGTTTGGAACCCACAGAATTGTATGGAGCTGTCTCCACTTTCTTTCTGTGGACTGAGCTCTTTGTACTTCAAAGGCAGAGTGTTTGGGGGAGCTGGGGGTCCTGCAATCCAGAGACGACACAGGTCAGGCTGAGGTCAGGGCTGAGAAAGATCTCTCAGGTTCCCTTTGAACTTTTAGATTTCCTTTCTGCCTCTTCTCCTTTCCCGATTTCCACCCAAGCACAGACCTGAAGGTACAAGACTCCAGGAACCCCCCTTTCTCTCTCTCTCTCTCCCAGAATAAAGCAAATAAAGCAAAGAATAAAGGTCATTTTTTAAACCAAATCCAAGGTCACTGCCACTACCAGGTCCCATGAGAGGAAGAAGAATTCAAATTGGGGCTGGGCTGAGTGGACAGAGGCTTACACCCAGGCCTTGGGAGGCGGGGAGAACTCACATCCAGGCCTTTGGAGGGAGGGAGGGAGGTGCCCACCCCAGGCTCTGGGAGAAGGGGTGAGCCCGCATCCAGGTGACAACTCACCGTAGCTCTGCTCCAACTCTTGGTTCCGACGCCACCGGTGGTGGTGGTGGCGGTGCTGGGGGTGGTGTCGGCGGTGGCGCTGGATCCGGGCCCGCCTGTCCCTGCGGATGCTGCCGACGATGATGGTGATGCAGGAGAGAATGACCACCACCCCGATGACCGTGCTCGCCACCAGGACAGGGGACACGAGCAGATGACTGTGCTCCAAGTTCTCGGAGAATGTGGAGTAGAAGTGGTTGGTGGTGTTGTATCGAGCTACTGTGGACAGGGAGAGAAAGGACACTGAGCCGGGGTGGGGATAGGTGGGGGATGGAGTAAGAGGACTGATGTCCGGCTGAGGTCGCGGAGGGCTCTGTGGGTGAAGCTGAGAGGATCCTGAGAGGCTGCTCAGTGAGGAGCCCAGCAGCTCCAATCCCACCCTACCCCACCCCCCCCCATCCCTCAGCAAGGGACCCCCATGTGACAGGGGAGGACTGCTCCACAGGGTGCAAAGCTGTAACCAGCACTGGAGCAGACTGCCAGATCCTCCCCTCAGGGAGGTACGGGGTGGGCTTGAACCGCTGGCCATTTGATTGCCAGTCAAGCTGTTAACCATGGTGCTATAGGGCCAGGAGCATGAGGAGGGTGCAGGAGCACTGAAGGAGCAGCAGCTGGATCCCTGGGATCCTTGGATGGGATGACAGGGCGCTGTGGGCTGGAGCCCATAGGGGAGGGTCAGAGCTGAGCTAGGGGCGGCCACTGCTTCATTAGTGATGCACTTGGAGCCGTGAAGCCTCCCATCACAGGGGGACCTCAGAGAAGGTGCCCTTCTCCCCTTTTACAGATGCACAGACTGAGGCAGCCAAGGAGTAAAACCATGAGCGTAAAGTTAGTTCTTTGAAAAGGTCGCCAAAATGGGCAAACTTAACGAGACAGACCAATAACACAGGAGAGAAGAGTCAAACGGTTAGAATCAGAAATGAAAAAGAGAGCCTTTTAAAAAATCATCATAAATTGCACACCGCAAAAAAATTTGCCATTTCCACCATCTTGACACGTGCAGTTCTGTGACATGACTGAATTTCGCCACCCGGAGCAGCCAGCACTACGATCTGTCACCACTGCCTGTCAGCGAGCACGGAGTAAATGGACACTTATCTTCTTGAAACAGAAGACATTATTTTATTCTGAGCTCCCTGGAAGAACAATGATTACAAGGGAATATGATAGAAAATACACTGGATAATGTAGAAGGGACAAAATCCAGAAATATACCCCAAACTGAAATTAAAGCCCTCTCAGAAAGAAACGGGGGTGCAAAACTTTGTAACCTTGGGTTAGGCAGTAGCTGCTTAAACTTGATACCAAATACCAGTAAGAAAGAAAACAATGGGTCATCGACAGACAATGTATTTCAAAGAACTCCATGAGGGAGTGAAAAGAACAGCAGAAAATGTCTGTGAATCATAATCCCCAAAGAGACGTTATCTAGAATATATTAAGGCACTTTATAATTCTATAATGAGGAAAAAAAATCCAATTAAAAATTAGCAACGCATTTAAATAGACATTTCTCTGAAGAAGATACAAATGGCCCATCAACACATTTGAAATGCCTGATCCATCTCTTCTCGCTTTTTCTCATACACACAAGCATGGCTTCCTCTTTCTAATCTGTTAAATGTCACCTCCTCAGAGAGGCCACCCCGGATTGCCCCCACCCATTACATGTCGTAAGTCCTGCTGTACCTCCTTCTCAGTACAATCTGTGAACATGCTGGCCATTTATGCCTCTGCTTATTAGGTTCCTGGGCTCCCTAACCTCTCCCCGGTGGTGTGGTGTGGGTTGCTACCTGCAAAGCTGCTGGTCTGAACCCTGCCAGCCACTCTTTGGGAGAGTGACGAGGTTGTCTTCTCCTACAAAGATTTACAGCCTCAGACACCGGACTGAGGGCACCGCGAGCTGAAATCAATTCAGCAGCAGTGGGTGTGGGTTTAACCATTTCCTGAGGAGCAGCTCACATACTTTGGCCTGTTGCTAGGAGAAACTGTTCACCGGAGAGGGGGACATCAGGCTTGGGGGTTTTTGGGGGGTGCAGAGGGACGACGAAAGAAAGACGACCCTCAGCCAGATGGACTGACACAGAGAGGGCCCGAGTGTGACAGAGATTGGGGAGATGACCCAGGATGGGTCAGGGTTCAGATCTGTGGTTTGCAGGGTGGCAATGGGTCATACTCAATTGGATGGCACCTAAAAAGGAGGAGAAGCACTGGTGGCTTCATGGTTAAAGACTCAGCTGCAAACTGAAAAGTCAACAGTTCAAGGCCACGAGCCACTCAGTGGGAGAAAGATGTGGTCTGTCTCCATAAGGACGGCCTTTACTCTCTCCTGTAGGATCACTGGGCATCAGAATCTACTCGACAGCCATCGGTTTGTTTCTTCTAGCAGCTGTTGTCTCACTAGTTTGTGAGCACCCTGAGGTCAGATTGCAGACTTATTCACTGCTTGGCTTTGTATGACCATGCACCATGCTGGGCACACAGTAGGTGCTCAAGAAATACTGAATGGATTTAAATACTGTTGGATCTGTGTCTGACACGTTCCAAGGCCAGAATCCTTTTTATTCTCTGCTTTCTGACTGGCTGTGTCTCTCTGAGATTTGCATGAAGCATGAGCTTCTCACTTTCAATCAGGAATAAAAGTCGAGGCCTTCTGTTTTTCGTCAAGATTCACAGACCTGAAAGGTGTCAGAGACAGGCTCCTTCACCTCTTTGTCTCACGCAAAAAGACCAGCTCACGTGACTGATCTGGTCTGACCTCCACGTTGACGACCTCTGGTTCATGTCTCCCACGCTTCCTGAGCTGATGCCAGTGAAAGACATCACCAATCAATCACGGTTCTCTTTCATGTTTGGTTCAGGAAGCAGCTTCAGTATAGCATTTCAACGCAGCACTCCACGCAACAACTACAACTGTCTGGAGCCTGCTGTGAGGTGGAGCTGCCGGCCATCTAGTGTGACTATGGGCTAGGGACCGGGCCGGTGGCCTGGACTGGAGCAGAGCCAGCAGCCACTCTGCTACCGTATTCTCTGTAAGTCAGGGCAGGCCAGTTATTGCCCAGCCAAATTGGCCTTCCTCCCCCTCTGTAATATGAAACTTCTCACCTGCAAAAACAAGTGCAGGAGATGGGGGCATCAGGAACATTAGCCTCCTTGGGAAGGGCAGGAGCATTTGGAAGGCACGAGACTGTGGAACAATGAGGCGGGGTCTGAGAAGCTTGTCCCCAGAGGGAGTCTGGGCTGGCCTGTTTAAATTCTAGCTGCTACAATGGCCTGGGATAGATGTGAAGCCCCAAGGAGATGTACTGTCAGAGAGCTGGCCACAGGCAGGGCTGCATGTACCTAGAATGACAGTGCAGAGCTGAAGACACAAGGGTGCGCCGCCCTGCAGAGCTGCAGAGGAGGGGCCAGCCCCAGGGGTCACCTTGAAGACACCCCTCCCTCCTAGCTCATCACTAAGCCTCACCTGTGCTTACCAGAGGGCCCATCAGTGCAGACACGCACCCGCCCGCCTGGGACATCAATCCCAGTCATCTCCGCCAGCAGATGGTTTTAAATGATGAGGGAACTCCTCTCACTTCCAAGCCCAGAGCCCATTTCATCAACAAGATAAATACGACTGCAGAGAAAGGGCCTGGTGCAGGCCCTCTCCCTGGACTCCACCTCCTTGTCCTCAGCACCTGTGCGACAAGGACAGAGGACGAAGGCAGCTTTGCTTGTCTCCTGCACTTTCTTCCCAAGCAGTTTCTACAAATATGCCTGTGGCTGAGCAGACACTACACCCCCAAATCCAGGCTCTCCCCGACACTGTCTTCTCCTCATCACGTCTGTTGACTCCTGCTGGGGGCCTCTGTGCCCGCCAGTTTGTCGGCTTGCACATTTTCAGCTGCCTCATAGGCATTTAAAAGTTGCCCAGTGAAAAGGGAGGACTGAAGAAGAAGTGAGGCCTTGGGAATGTGGTGCTGGAGAAGAACGCTGAATAAGCCGTGGACCCCTAAAGGAAAAGACACATCTGTCTTGGAAGAAATGCAGCCAGAGATCTCCTTACATGCAAAGACGTTGAGACTTCGCCCCGCGGGTTTGGGGCAGGCTCTCAGAAGGGGCTCTGCAGGCTGCTGCACTGCTAAGCAGAAGGCTGTTTCCAAAGGTTCAAATCCACCCGACGCTCTGGGAAAGACAGGCGGTCTCCTTCCATTGTGACCGACAGCCTCTCAGAAGCCCGTTGGAGCGTGGCTACGGGCTGGAACCGAGGTGCACAGCGGTGAGCTGGATCAGGAGGCACTGCTCCCTGGAGAACGCTGTGCTCGGTAAAAAGGTCAGCAAGAAAGAGGAAGCCCCTCAGAGACATGGACCAACACAGGGCCCGCAGTAATAAAGCGGGCTGTGAGGACCGTGCAGGACCCGGTAGTGTTTTCTTCTGTTGTTATGAATGGAAGGCACTCGCTGGCACCTAACCACAACCACATGATGATGCCGGACGCTATGCTACTGGTATTTCATCCAAGAGGGGCTGATTTCAGTAGAGCTTCCACACAGAGACAGACTGGGAAGAAAGGCCTGGCAATCCACCTTTTAAGTCACTGTTGATGGTGTTATGTGCTGAATGACTCTATGCCCAATAGCTCTGAATTCTGCTCTATCCTGAGCCAATCTCACTGTCTCTGACACACTTACCCCTAGTACCCTAGTTACTGTGTTAATCCAGCTCATCCAGGGTCTTCCCCTCCTGTGCTGTCCCTTCACAATTCCAAGCATGATGTCCTTCTCCAAGGACTGGCCCCTCCTGGTCATGTGCCCAAAGTATGTGAGACAGGGCTTCAAAATCGTTTCCCCTAAGAAGCAGCCTGCATTCACCCTCTCCAGGACAGATCTGTTTGTTCTCTTGGTGGTCCATGGTATGTTCAATACTCTTCTCCAGCACCACAACTCAAAGGCACTGATTCAGTGCTCTGGTGCATAGCAAGTAATTGCGAAGACCATGGCCTCATTCAGGTGCACCCTGAGTCTCTAGAATGACACTGTTGCTCCTCAGTACTCTGGAGAAGTCCCTGACAACAGATTTTTCCCAGTGCAATTTGTCTTTTGATTTCCTGGCTATTGGTACCAAGAGTATCATTAACCAGTGAAAACCCCATGGATCACAACAGAATATTGTCACCTGTAGTGCTGGACGCTACATCCCCTTCATAGACTGGAAGGGGCTCAACACAGACAGTGGCTGCTGAAGCAGCTGTGATCAGACCAAGGAAGAGGGTGTGGACAGGGGGTGTCTGTACTGTTATACTCGAGGGCACCATGGGTTGGAGCCAAAGCAACAGCTACTTCCAACAATGCTCATGACAGGCAATGACGGGATCTCAGCGAGCGGAGAAATGAGCCCCAGAGATGTTAAGTAACTTGTCCAAGGTCACACAGCCCCACACAGAGCAACCTGGGTCTACGGAAAGCTGAGACCTCGTGTTCTTCATCAAGATGCTATTCCGTGGTGACCAAGCTCAGTGGGCTGAGAACACACAGAGTTAGGATCTTGCTGAAGCAATACTGCTCCCCTCTCCGAAGGCATGGTTCAGTTCTTCCAGGGCACTTTCTATATACCCAAAGCAGACCCTGACCTGGGGCTAACTCAGAGGGAAGGTGTACCGACCACTGAGTGCTGCTAAGACACAAAGATTCCAGGCTCAAGGCCCTGTGTAGCTCAGAAGCAGTTGCCGTGGCAGCCAGGTCTGTGAGAAGCAAATAACTCACGTTGTGGGAGACGTGGGGAGCCGGCCCTGGGGTGGCATCTCCCGAGAGTGAGGAAAAGAAGACGGCTGCTCTCACGGAGTGAGTCCTTGCTATGCATTAGCTTGTAGCCAGTGGTCTTGAGTCAACTCAGATGCATGGTGGCCACGTGTGTGTTAGAGGAGAGCTATGCTTACACAACAAACTCCTTGCCAGTTGAGTTAGAACCAACTCATAGCTGACCCTCCAAGGGGTCTGTCGAGGCTGTAAACTGCCCGGGAAGAGAAGGTCCATCTTCGTCCTACACAGCCACGGGCCGACCTGAGCCCCGGCCAGGTCTGGCCTGCGGGTGAACAGTGTAGCTCCCTGTGGACGGGCCACCAGAGCTCACACCAGATAGACTTCTCAGGAACCATTTGTTTGTTTGTTTGTTTTTAATTTGTGTGTATGTGTACTGTCAAATCAGATTTGACTGGTACAGGAGGAGATTTTTCCTCCTTCTCCAGCAAAGCATCTGGTGGATTCGAACCGCTCATCTCTTGGATTGCAGTGCAGCTTCTTGCCACTAGGCCACCAGAGCTTGCCAGGAACTGTTTTTTCTGAAGTAGATTGCCAGTATGTTCTTCCATAGCACCTCTGGGTGGACTTGAAATCCATCCTTTTGGTTAGCTGCCAGATGCGTTAGAGGCCTGTACCACCCAGACATTCTTACTACGAATTCTCCAAACTCACCCTGTTGATTGATCCGGACTCAGCAACCCTACAGGACAGGGCAGAGCTGCCCACAGTCTCCAGGGCGGTACATCAGTCAGGTTCTAAATGATTTACAGCTACGATTATTTCATATAATCTCTCTACAGCAGCCCTGGGAGGTAGATAATGCTAATCTTCCCATTTTACAGGTGGGAAAACCAAGACACAGAGCTAGTCAAGTGGTGGCACCAAGACTTTTTTTTTTAAAAATCCCACTCCCTCTTTTTTTCCCAATCTTTGAGCTGTCACTCAGCCACTCTGGTTCCTGGGGGCTTTGTCCTCTCTCCAGTCACTGGGGACAGGGAGGTGCCTGTCTATTGCTCCCAAAGCAAGACTGTGAGATGTCACCTTGATGACATTCAGTGTTGGAAGCAAAAGGATACGGAAAAGGCCTGGTGTTCAGAGTTCTTTTTACAATGGGGATGAGCCTGCACAAAAAGGCCGTAAATTTCATGTCAGGGTATCAGCACATCTTACATGAACTTGGACACTGTGGCAACGGGAGTGGGCAGATCATGGCTGGAATTAAGGATGGAATGTGGTGTCATCACCTTTCATTAATCCTCCATCAGTTCACTCAGCTAACTAACCATTCACTCTCATGCATTGATCTATAGCTACCTAAACATTTACTCATCCATCCATCCATCCATCCATCCATCCACCCACTCATCCATCATTAACCCATCCATCCATCCACTTACCAATACCCAGTACAAGCTTACTGATGCCTGACTACATGCTAAACACTCAGAACACAGATATGAATAAGATGAAAGCAGATTTTACAAACTGGATGACTAGAGGCCCCACACGGGCACTTGGAGGCTGAGAGGGGTTGGCTGTTACATCATGGAGTGTCCTGTCCCCTTCATACAACTCATCACTGGTTATTTTTTCTCATCACTGTTTTAAAATAGGACAGACATGGGGGCATTGAGGAGGGAATGGGGAAAGGGTGGACAGATAATGAATACTGCATTACAACAGATGTGGGAAGAACTGTCTGGAAGGAGTATATGACTATGCATTATATGCATGAGAACAGTCTGGAACAAGGGGTGCACTGGGGGAGGGCTGGGTGAGGAGGAGGGAAGGGGAGGGAGAAGAAATGCAACAATGAATAAACAAAAGGGGTGAAGGGGGGAAAGTTAGTAGGCGCATGCTCCATTGTCAAGTGGAAGTTTTAAAACAACTGCATCCAAACATACCTGGAAAATGTATTCTATAAATATAAGATTAAAGGAATTCAATCCGCTATTAAGATATATTCTACCCGTTGGCACTGACTCAGGGGAACCCTTGCGTATAACATGTGAAGAAACTAGGGCTCAGAGAGGTCCACTGACTTGCCCCAGGTCACACAGCTGGTCTGACGCTGAGATTTTCACTGACACCTAAGAAGTAAAGGCTCTTTTCACTCTCTGGGTGCCTTTCGGGGCTCCCGGCTCCCCTTCAGGAAAGGGTCACTCCTCACCTGGCTCCTGAGTCCTGGCCTCAGAGCACCTGCTCTCATCGGACACCTGCCATCAGCTCCATTGTCTTTCTCCAGGCTCCTCGTCCTGCCTCTGACTCTGGCAGGATTCTCACGACTTAACTGGACTGAAGCTATAATAAAGTGCACCGTCAGCTTAGGGGGCTCGCTGCTCTTTATCTGATAACCTGACAAATACTTATTATTCTATGTGTCTACAAACAAAACCACGGACTTACTGGGAGCATTTACAACAAGTAGAGTAAGTAGAACGGGAGCTAAAAGGGGAAACTGAGGACAAAGGAAGAATGAAATAAAACCACCTGGGGGAATGACATTTTTTCTGTGATTAATGGTAAGGGTATGAGGAGCTTCCTTGCAGCCAGGGCAAAAAGGGAAACAGGATCCATTTCCCAGCATCCCTGTCTACAGAGGCCTCTGAGTCCACTGATCAGGCCATTCTCTAGCTTTGTGAACACAACGCAACTCCTTTACACAGGCTAAACACATCCAGACGTCTGGGAGGCCCTCACTCTTCTTCCCCCTTTCTTTACACCGACACTCGTTTAAGTTTAGCTGATTTAGT